AGTCGAGCCGAACACGCCGATGCATCCACCGACAACGTACAACAGCCATGCACCTCTCCCCTCCCTCGACTGCCAAAGCCAGAACCCGGACGCCGCGCCATGCCTTGGTATAAAGTGGCGAGTATGAGCAAACAACTGGATATCTACCCCGCGAGAGAACCCAGGTCGTGAAACACGTAAACGTTTCGTGGGATGCCGAGGCGCCCCCTTCCCATGTGAACAATTAAAACAACATATAACATGAATAGGATCTGTGAAGCGGAGGGCAAAGGAAAAAGAAAAAGGCAGTGCCCTGCAAACGTGCTCACGCCGTCACGGCTGTTGGTGGCTCCATGGGCATCACGCCAGTCGCCGAGGCGCCGGGGGTGCTGGGTGCCGCGGCGACCTCGGGGTCTGATATTTGTATGTCCAGCTATGTCATGTCAGTCGGCATCTCGGGCGAAGAGGGGAATCGTGCTGACTCACAGTCATGTAGCCCGTCCGTCGCAGGGGAATGAGCTTGGGGGCCGAAGCCCCCTCGTACGCTCCGGCCGTCTTCTCGATTTCCTTGTTCCACTGGTCCATCCAGTTCTCCAGCCTCGTGAGGCGTGCCTTGACCCCCGTCAGGCCAAAGTCATCCCACAGCCAGCCTGTGACGAGTCCGAGCATGCTGTCGACGATATTCCTCCAGTCGTAGGGGTTAAAGATGGGAATCAGCTCGCCGTTGAGCTTTTCAATGACGCGGCGAAACTCCTGCTCCGACAAGCCAGCTGGATCCAGGATTTCCGGGTAGAGATTGGAAAATGTCGGCGCGAGGTCGCCCTCGATGAGCCAGTCCCTGCGAACGCGGATGATACGCGTGTTTTGGTATTCGGCAGAGTCAACAGGTACGTGTGGGTTGAGATGGGGATAGCATGGGTGCTGCGGGCCCCATTCTTCGCCCATGTCGCCGACCTCCTCGCCCATGATGGACGAGTCCGAGGACATGGCAGACCCGATACCATCGCCGGCCGAGAGATTGGAGTGGCGGCGAGGGTCCATAATGTCGGGGCCCCGCTCGAGGTCCCTCGAGTAGCCCCTCTGCTGTTCGTCTGGTTGCGGTGTCATGATGGCCTTTCCTTTGCCCTTGTCGACGTCTTGGGGTTGGAGGGAGCCGGGCGATGCCTGCTCGGGATCGACTGGCGAAGGGTTGGAGCTCGTTGCTCCTCTCTTTTCGTCGTACGAATGGCGCACGGACCGGGGCAGGCTGATACGGTGATCGCTGTTGCCGCGGTGGTCAAATTGGAGACTGCCGCGACCAGAGCCGGAACGACGGGATTGTCGGAGTTCGGGTAGTGTGAGCAGGGGATAGTGGCCTGCACCGGTGCTGACGGGGTCGGCAGGATCGGTCGAGTTGTCGAGAGCGGGATGGGATAGCGGGACGTTGGCAGGGGGCGGCGTCGAGGGTCGCCGTCGCCTCTGCTTGTTTTCAGTGGGACGTCGCGGTGTCGAGTTTGTCGGGTTCCATAGGCGGGCGGCGCCGGACAGACGACGAAGGCGGCGAGGCGTGGCAGAGGCCTTGCTGAGGAAGGGCGATTGAACAAAGGGTTCGTGGGGGATGTAGGCGGCACCGCGTGTAGACTCGAAGCGGCGGTGGACAGGAGCGGTGGGTGCGGGAGGCGACGGCAAGGTGGAAGCGCCGGGGTGCACGGGGGGCTGACGATGGGAGAGGGTGGTCAGGCGCGGATTGGCGAATGCATCTATGGTGGACGACGGGATGGAGTCTGGAACTTGTCTCGCGTGGGAAGCCGTGGGAAAGGCGAGGGGGGGCGAGCCGCCGAAGAGACGGTCCCGTCGCAGGCTTGTGGTAATGGTGGTAGTGGGTGAGGGAGCGGGAGGCGAGGAAGGGAACGGTTGGGGTGCTCAGCAGGTCGGCGTCGCGTTCGAAGACTCTGCACCAAAGTCTCGAGGGATGCTGCGGCGGTGATGGGGGGTGGTGCGTCGGGGTGGGTTGAATGAGCCAGATCCTCGGATGGCAGTGATAGGAGGAAGGGCCGCTGGCGTCGCGCGGAAGCGAGATGGGACGCAGCTGCAAGGGCGAGCGGGAAGAGAGATCGTCGCTCCAGTTGGTCGTGGGCGGCGAGGTGGTGGTGAGGGTGGTACCAGTAGGCGTCGCCCGAAAAGGAGCGGCCGGCGGGTTCAGGTAGTGCTGTGCCTGTACTCGTGCCCGTGCTCGTGCCTGTGCCTGTGCCTCTGGCTTTGACTCCGGCTCCGACTGTGCCTCTAATGGGTGTTGGGGGTTCTGCAGGTTTTGTGGGGGTGTCGCCAAAATGGGAAACCTCGGATTGCTGGAGCGGGTGGTGGGCGGTTGGCAGAGTCTCACGAGTGGATGGGTCCGAATCGCACGTTGAAAGGAGTTGAGAGGTTAGTGTCGGTGTCGGCGTCGGTGTCGGTGTCGGGGATGGGCGTGTTTGTGGGTGATGAAAAAAAGAAGTTGGACAGCAGCAGCAACAGGAGGAGGAGGAACAGGAGCAAGACGGAGACCTGGACAAAGACCTAGACCGGGACCTGGACCGGGACCTGGACTGGGACCTGGCGCGGCAGCTGGGGCCGTTGGTGATGAGCGCCCGTGTGACGAGGTTTGGGCTCGAGCTTGAGGCAGGAGCAGCAGCAGCAGGTGCAGGTGCTGCCGTGGTTGTAGGAGCAGCAGCAGCGACGGCCGTGGCAGCGGCCGTGGCAGTAGCAGCGGTGGGAGTAGTGGTAGTGGCAGGGGCAGGTGCAGCCGTCTCGGTGCAGCAGCCGTCACCGTTGCAGTGGGAGGGGCGGCTTCTTGGTTGAATTAGGGGGACTGCCGAGAGCGGTCTAGCGGCGAGCGCATCGAGTCCCAGCATTCTGGTCCCTCCCCGGTCCTTCAGCTCGCTTCCGTCGTGCGCCTTCAGGGCCGGCCTGGTACCCCCCCGAGGCAGGTAATGTCGCTCGTCGGCGTGGAGAGTGGGATGACTGTGATCAAAAGGAGGCAATGAACCAAAGTGTGAGAGGCAAGCTAGGCACCCAGTGGACGAAAGGGTGGAAAAGCTTGGGAACAGCACCCTGCTTATGGATATATAACGCGGGACAAGGGGGGGGGGGAAT